GGCCAGATTCTAATCTCTGCTCGCTGGCCTCACACATCACTGCACATGAGTCACCCCGCTGAGCTCAGCGGACATGCTGTTTGGATTAGGCTTTTACAGGCGAGGTTTGCCAAGCTTGCCTTTGCTGGCTTGCTGCACAGAGTGGCCGAGAGGTGAGGGAGGAAGGTGGGGATGTGGGTTAGATGTGGTTGCCCAGGTGCCAGGGAGAAGACGGTTGGCTCCCCAGGTACACAAGATTGTGGCACCAGGGAGTGGCTGTGAGTCCTGCTCTCCGCATCCCTTCTTCTCTGCTCAGCTCGAAGAACCCCATCAGGAGCAACGGAGCTCACACCAGGCCCACACAATCTTGCTCTCGTGCCAACTCTCCAATTAAGATGTACTGTTACAGGACACACATCTTGCCTTCACTCAACCATTTGCCTCTCAACGAGCAGGAATTCCTTTTCTCAAAAGCAGGCAACACTTCACCACTCAGGCATCTTGCTCAAAAGCAGTGGAGTCCAGCAAAAAAAGGGAGGGAAGTCAGAAAATAAAAATTCCTAAATTAAGAGCCAACCCATAAAAGCAGGGCTTCCCCTAGTGCCTGGCTGGTGTGACATCATCATGAATTACTCAATGAAAATGGTGTCAGAGTAGCAGCTCGATTAAATGCGGAAAATTTCCTCAAGAAACAGAATTCTGCAGAAAATAAGTAGGGGTAGAAAAATCCTGCTCTGCACATAGATCTTTTTGGGTTGTTTCCATAGGCAGAGAGCAGGGCGGAGTTCTCTTCCAAGCAGCTCCTAGCAGAGCCTTGGTGCTCAGGAGCGGTAGTGGACAGAACCCAGTGGTTTGTTTTGCTTCCTTCTGTGGAAGCAATGGTAGGAACAAGATCAAAATCCTTTGTTTCAGGTTCTGCCAAGTTTTGCTTCTGTGCGTGGTAACTTGGGAAGAAGCAGCCCCCATCACTCTGTAAGCCAAGGATTCTTGGCTCGTAGTCTCTGCTGGGATTTTCTTCAGAGTATTTTAGACTCTGTTTATTAAAGGCATCTAAATGGAGGTGGCAGTCCTTGACACTTTCAAAATAAATGTTGCCACCAGCCCCTATATCGCTTTTGACTCTAAACCACAAATTTCCAAACTTACCATTGCTCAATTAGCTGTCATTTAAAAAGTATTTTTTGTTCCTGGTTTCAGGTTTCTTCTCATCTATCTATAATTCTCAGGGTGGTCAAATTTGCTCACAAAACCTCTTTTCCTTCTTTTCTTCCACTATTATTTTCACTTCAAAATGGAAATGGAGATGGAAGGTACCACCCTGGACAGCCATGCAGTTACTAAAGCACAGTGGACAGTCTAGCAGAGGGTCCGAGGCTGAATGTCAGGCAAACCTGTTCGAGCCCTGGCTCTGCCACCAACTCTCTGTGTGACCTTGGAGCAATTTTCTTAACCACCCTCCTCAATTTTCTCATCTGTAAAATATGGATAAAAATAGTCCTAACCTCATTGGTGAGAACTATATGAGCTAATGGAAGAAAAATATTTAGTAAAGTTCCCGGCCCCCAGTAAGCACATAATCAATGTATTATTATTTATATTACAATAATTATTCTGCAACCAGCATTATGTGGCTAATGGTTGTAAGTGTAATCGGAATCTACAGTTAACAATTCTTCTTTCTGGAATTCCTCAGTGCCCAGAGGGTTAACATTTGCCCTCACCAAAGGTATCTACTTAGGGGTCAGCCCCGTGGCCGAGTGGTTAAGTTCACACACTCTGCTTCAGCGGCCCAGGGTTTCGCCGGTTCGGATCCTGGGTGCGGACATGGCATCGCTCATTAAGCCATGCTGAGGCGGCGTCCCACGTGTCACAACTAGAAGGACCCACAACTAAAAATATGCAACTATGCGCTAGGGGGCTTTGGAGAGAATAAAGAAAAATAAAATCTTAAAAAAACCCAAAAAAGTATCTGCTTGATGGTGCCTGTGTATTCTTTGTTAGGAGAAGACCAGAAGAGAGGATGAGGTGAGGATCATTTCTAAGTAATTAAAAGGAGGTACTTACCCTTGAGGGTTCCTTACTATAACTAGAAGAAAAAAAGTCTCACAACTCTTGAAGGCTTGCTATGGATGGGGGACAGAGGTTACAGATTCACTTAGTGGAGTCTGTTAGTAGAGGAAGCCCTGGGTAGGAATTTGATGTGGCTCAAAGTATCAAAAAACCCTCACACATCTACAAAGCTTCTACCAGTTCTCTGGGTAGCAGGGGATGATGGTAATAAGTGGAGGTCTTTGCATTTAGAAAGGCACAGTGATGTTTGGCATTTCTGGTGCACAGGTGGGCCCTCAGCAAAGTCTACAGGGGGGCTGAGAAAACGGGAATTGGAGCTGCTTTGCAAACAAAAGTAAAGGCATATCCTTACTTAGTTGGGCAGAATATGTTGCCTTTAGGAAGATTCTCCCTTCCCCTCCTTAATATTGATTTAGACTGGAACTGATGGTTAGTCTTTGGGGTGTGTGTGTATAAGATCTTAGAGTTACAGGAGGTCAGAAGACCACAGGAAGAATGAGGAGGGGTATCTTGACCTCATGCTTGCAGACGGACCCTGAAAAGAACAAGAACTGGAGAAATGAAGCCTGCCATGGATTATTCTGGGAATTATCTAGCTACACAGCATGATTCCTAATTGAGTAACTCAGAATTTGAGAAATGTATTGCTGTGGATTATCCACATCTTACAGATTATCCTGTTTAGGGTAGAGGGTCAGGGCTGGGTAGACCTTGTTGGGCGGGGATATCATGAAGGGAGTTGCATTAAAATGTAAACACTGCGATAGCTTGTATTACTTGTCTTTTTTATGTCCACTGCTCTATTCCCAGCACCTAGAACAGTGCCTTGGACATAGTGGGTACTCAAAAAACATTTGTTGAATGAATTAATTTTGCCATGGAGAAGAGAAAAGTGGGCCCACAGAGTAAAAGAAGAAAAAGAGAGTGGGTGTTGGGGCGGGTCAGCACGGCTAGGAAATGGAGTATGCCCATGAAGAGACCCTGCTAAGGGTTTTCCTTCTTCCCTTGGGGTCTGGGAGCAATCATATTTAATGTCTAGCTTTTTTTCCCCTTGTTCTTATCCTCAAACTTGCAATGATGTGGCTCACACATATGTGTTAGAGGTGTAGAATTAAGGGGAGGGACAACAAAGGCAAATGCAGCTTCCCTGCATCATTTCATGTATTAGTTTCCTATTGTTGGTGTAACAAATCACCACAAATTTAGTGGCTTAAAAATACCAAAGATTTATTATCTTCCTGGTCTGGAGGTCAGAAGACCTAAAATCAAGGCATTGGCAGGGCTGTGTTCCTTCTGGAGGCTCTAGGTCAGAATCTGTTTTCTTGCCCTTTTCGGCTTCTAAAGACTGCCTGCATTCCTTGGTCCCTGCCTCATGTCCCTCTGACCTCTGCTTCCATCATCATCACATCTCCTCTGACTCAGTCTCCTGCCTCCCTCTTTCCCTTATAAGGATTCTTGTGATTACAACATAATCACCCGTGTAATCCAGGATAATCTCCCCATCTCAAGGTCCTTAACTTAATCATATCTGCAAAATCCTTTTGCCATGTAAGGTAACATATTCACAGGTTCCAGGACGTGGATGTTCTTGGGGGCCCAGCATTCTGCATATTGCTCCCCAGAGGCCACCATCGGTGTCACATGGAGGGAAGATGGCAGCCCTAAAGCATAGGCCAGGATCCACACTACGGTGAGCAGACACCCCAGCTGAGTATGGAGTTTAGGAGCAGATGAAAGCAGAGGAACAGGCTGCAGCCCGGAGGAGCTCTGGAAATGAGAGACCAACTCCCTTTCTGCAAATATACTGAAGGAAAGTGATTCTTGGTGACAGAGGCAGAAAGATAGATTCTGTTATTATAGATACAGTGGCTGTCCTGGCAACAGACCCTCTCTACAGCTCTTTTCCAGTTTAGGGGTTCAGAATTTGAGACAGTTTGTAAGGTGCAATGCCTGCCTTAGGGCAGGTGTGCATTTCAACAAGAGCCATCTACTATTAATACCAGAAGGAGAGAAGCCAGGGGACTCCAGAGCCCCAGCTGCCTGGGGAGGCAGGTTGCACATAGCTCTACATTCCTGACCCCAGGGAAACAGGAAGAAGATCTGCTGGAAGGGAATAAGGGACGAGGCAGGTGTGCAGAGGTAGAGTTTCAAATGCTCTTTACCTTCATTTCTTACCACACAAGCTGGGAGGAAGCATCTGGCTGATTCTTTACTGAAACTTGGAACTCTCTGCTGCAGTCAAGAAGGAAATATTTTTGTGGTTTTTTTCTGTGGGGGAAGAAAGTAATAAATCTTTCTGTTGTTGAAGGAACACCTTTCAGTGGTGTAGCTCTGAGAGGAATATATTATTCTTAAAGCGTACGTGCTTGAAAGTTTGTTAGAGTCGGGCCCTTAGGAAGCTTTGTGTAGACCCTGCAGAGTAAGAACGAAGTGTGAGCTAGTCACACTTCTTTGTGTAGCTCTGTGGTAGTCACAGAGGACACAGGTTTAAGAAATAGACATTCCTATTAGAACAGCTAGGTTTCCAAGGTGGGTGTTGGCTCTGGAAAGCTCATCTGTATCTCCCCATGGATTTCCTACAGAGCCCCTCATTGGCAAAGGAGCGCCTGCTGTGATCAGTCCTGTGTGGTAGAAGAGGAGGACAAAATCTTGTTCTGACAAAGATCGTCCACTCTGCACACGTGTTGAACCCTTGTCGTATGTCTGGCACTGTTCTAGGTTCAGGGGATACAGTAACGACCAAAACCGACAACAAATAATAAATATGTGTCAGGTTGTGGTAAGGCGTATAGAGACAAACAAGGCAGAATAAGGGATTTGAGGGTGGCAGTGGGTGTGTGCTATTTGATGTAGGTGGTTGGGGAAGGCCTCCTTCGTAATGGGGTACTTGGGCAGAGACACGAAAGAAGTGAAGGTGGCAGAGGGACAAGTCACATAGACATCTGAAAGGTCCAGGTGGAGGGAATATTTATCAAAACGTATGAATACAGCTCATTTTTCAGTGGGCACTGTGTACGATGCTGGCCTGGTTTACAAAATCCATCCCTTTCTTTATGCGTAGCCCTCACCCACAACTGCAGCTCCTGGGAGATCCTTTGTATAACATGTCCCGATGTCCAGCCACAGCTGACTGGACCTGAGGAGGGCATCCCATCCAAACTAGGCCAATGAGAGTCCAAGACAGACACCGAGGTAGCAATCTTGCAGAAAGGGATGAGAACCTGGAGAAGGGCAATAACAAAGGGAAAATCAGCAGCACACTGTGGCTGTTGATGGGGGCTGATCTGGGGTTCAGAGCATAGGAGACCGGAGTTAGAAAGCCTGGCTGCAAGCAGAAACCCAAAGCCTGTGAGAGATCCTCGTGACTGAGAGCAGGTTTATCAGCCTGTTCTTGAGGCCAAGACTCACCCCAAGGCTGTGCTTATTACGCAGGTCCCACCTTTACTGGGGAAAGTCAACCCAATGTATGGTATTGTATCTACTTTGCCTAAATCTCTTGAGTGCAGATGCATAGATTAGGTGCAAAGATTGCAAAGAGTGCACAACAAACAGAAATACTTACACTGAGATTGCTTTTGCATGAAGCAAAATTTCCCCTCTGTTCCCTCTGCATACACATCTGATGAATAGGAATGTAAAGTGCATTTTTCTAAACTCATTTGCTCACTAGTGTCTTTTAAAAGGCACTACCTTTGGGGGCCAGCCCAGTGGCCGAGTAGTTAAGTTCACGCGTTCTGCTTTGGCGGCCCAGGATTTGGCCGGTTTGGATCCTGGGTGCGGACATGGCACTGCTCATCAGGCCATGCTGAGGTGGCATCCCACAGGCCACAGCTAGAAGGACCCACAACTAAAATATACAACTACGTACTGGGGGGATTTGGGGAGAAAAAGCAGGAAAAAGAAGATTGGCAACAGTAAGCTCAGGTGACAATCTTTAAAAAAAAAAAGGCACTACCTTTTCTTTTTTAAAAAAAAATTTTTTTTTTCTCCCCAAAGCCCCCCAGTACATAGCTGTATATTCTTCGTTGTGGGTCCTTCATAGTTGTGGCATGTGGGAGGCTGCCTCAGCGTGGTTTGATGAGCAGTGCCATGTCCGCGCCCAGGATTCAAACCAACAAAACACTGGGCTGCCTGCAGCGGAGCGCGCGAACTCAACCACTCGGCCACGGGGCCAGACTCAGCACTACCTTTTCAGGAAGCCTGAGTGTTTCTATCTTAAAGAGTTAACTTCAAGTGGTAGATGTAAAGTTTTTTGGTTTTTTTAGAGGCAGTTTTCAGATGAGGAAGCAATGCCTTTTTAATACCTGAATATCCAGGGGTGATGGAGCAATCAGGCTCTGACATGCCTTTGTTCCAAGCTCTGCCGGCTCCTGGACTGCAGCCTTTCCACAGCGTACCTTGAGTTGGCTGAGCAGTTTTCTTCATGAGTAAGATGCAAATAGCAACGTTCTCAAGGCCAGAGCATTTCCTTCTCCTGGGGAGTTTGTGAATTTCCAAGGTGTTTCTCTGCTGAGCTGAGATTTCATGAAATAAACTGTGTAAAGGGTCTTACCGTAATACCTTGCACTATATACTAAATGCTAAATAAATACCAGCAGTTACTAAATAAATACTAATGACTACAAAGGCTACGTCAAAAAAGAAAGCCCTTATTAGTTGGAGATGCATGCTGAAGTATTTATAAGTGACATGATGCTGTGTCTGGGACTTGCTTTTAAAATTCCAGTAAAAAAAGAGAAAAATGTGTCTATTTGTGGGGGGATGGGAGTGGAGTGGGGATGACAGAGGAAACCAGATTGGCACAGGTGGAGATTGTTCATGCTGGGGGGTGGGGACATGGGCGTTCATTATTCCATTCTCTCTTATTTTGTGTGTGTTTGAAAATTTTCATGATTAAAATGAGAAAAGAGAGAGAGAAAGAAAGAAAAAAAAGACCTCAGTGTCTGACCCACTCTTTTCCCTCCTGACTCTGTTATTACATAATGTCAGCAGGGATCCTAATATGGGGAATTTGATTACGGGAGTTTTCGCAGCATGACTTCAACAAAGAGAAAAGTTTGATGGATTATTTCTGGAGAGTAGAGCAGTCAGGGTTTCCAAGAAAAGTGATGTTGAAATGAATAATGAAGATTCCCTGCTCAGTGATGCAGCCTGTGGGGCTCTTGTCAAATGTTCTGGGAAACTATTGACGGGATGTTGTCGCCCAAGCACTTCCTTGTGCAACGTAGGAAAGACCCACATACTCCCTGCAGTCTCCTTCAGTCCCTTGAGGACAATAGCAGTAGGATTTACTGGACTTAAGACCTAGGGCTATAGCTGGACATGCAACAGTGGCAGGTCAGTCCTGCACCCTGACTCTCTGGACCTGGCATTCTCAGAACCCTTGGTGTCTTCCAGGAGGACACCACTGAGGAAGGTGTGTGCAGTGCAATCAGACAGCTTGCAGCCAGTCGCCAGCATTCTCACAGACATTCCCACTAAGCCCAGAAAGGAGGACTGGAATGCAACACGGAAATTCTCTTTTCTCAGCCCCTGTCACTGCGCCTGTAGGGTGGGGTGGAAATTGGCCTCTGGGTGACCACACCCAGCTCCCTATCCACTCTGGCCAGAGACTTTACATCCTCAACAGCTGCTGTCTGTGTTTGGCTTTTAACTCGGCTGCCTTGACCCAGCTTCCAGAGACCAGTTTGCAGGGGACAACTGTGGTGCTGGCGTTCCAATCATATCTGATCTGCAACCCCTCCCCACCACCCTCCTGCCACACACATTGTATGCCTTCATTTCATTTCCAAGACGGAATTTATCTCAGGAGGTGCGTCTTTGAGTTGCCCCACGGTTTTGTTCTGGAGTTCCTTAAGACCTATTCCAAAAGCTCATCACTTAAAATGTGGGAAGAATTGGTTCATTTTTTTAGCGGGCTTCAGTGGAGTAAAGAATAAGCGGATGGAGGTACATTCATCTTGTATTGCTTGGACCACTCTGTGGGATAAAACTGGACAGCGAGTGATGCTTTAGGAAGTATCTTGGCCCTTCCGTGCCATAATTAATTTTACAAAACAAGACATGACATGGGCTATAAGCTTTGCGGTACTGCCTTTTTAAGGGCTAATCATCCCTTAAAATCATTCAAACCTTTCGACATGGCAATGGGCACTCCAAGAAATTTCTACAAAGAAAACAATTCAAAAGAAGAGGAGGGGAAATCTATATATGTACTTAGATGTTTACGGGAGAATCACTTATAATAGTGAAAACTAGAAACAACTTAATGAACCACACCAGGGAAATGGTTAAATGAATTATGGTCTATCTATGGAAAACCATGCAGCCACAAAAAGTGATAATTAGGAAGACTATGCAAGGACAATGAAAAATGTTTATTTCGGGCTGGCCCGGTGGCACAGTGGTCAAGTGCACACGTTCCGCGTCCGCTGCCCAGGGTTCGCGGTTTGGATCCCGGGTGTGGACATGGCACCACTTGGCAAGCCATGCTGTGGTAGGTGTCCCACATATAAAGTGGAGGAGGATGGGCAGGGATATTAGCTCAGGTCCAGTCTTCCTCAGCAAAAAGAGGAGGATTGGCAGCAGTTAGCTCAGGGCTAATCTTCTTCTTCTTCAAAAAAATGTTTATTAAGTGATGTTAAATAAGAAGATGGAACACAAAAATATATGAGCGTTCTAATTATAATTATGTAAACTATTTCTATATCTGACTGAAAACAGGAAGAAAATTTGGGTTGTGTTAAGTGGTGGAAAAATGAGTACTGTTTTTCTTTTTCAATACCTTTAGTATTGATGTAGACTTGTTTTAGTGACAAATAATTCCTTTTGAAAAAAATACCCAAGGGCCAGCCCTGTGGCCTGGTGGTTAAGTTCTGTGTGCTCCGCTTTGGCAGTCTGGGTTCGTGGGTTCAGATCCCAGGTGCTGACCTATATCACTTGTCAGCCATGCTGTGATGGCGACCCACATATAAAACAGAGGAAGACTGGCACAGATGTTAGCTCAGGACCAATCTTCCTCAGCAGAAAAAAAAAAAAAGAAAGAAAGAAAGAAAGAAGGAATACTCAAGCCCCCTAATTTGTTGTGGTTGTTTTTCACTTTGGGCAATAACAACATTGAGACAAAAGGGAGTCACATTAGCAACTACCAAGTCTGGAGCTCAGAAAGAGACTCCCTGAAAATGAGAGGAGTCTGGTGATGGGATCTGAAGATAACATATATAGAAAATAGGTCCAAGAAAGCAATTATGGGGAAAGTATTTGCATAGTTGAATATTTATGAAAAGGAATGAACTCATGTTGATTCTTAGTCTATATTGAAGCTGACGATACCTGTGAACAAAAAAAAAAGAGAGAGAGAGAACCAAAGAGACACCTCATTAGTCTTTCTCTTTATCTCTTTGTAACGCACATTGTCTCTAAAACATTAATGGTCCAATTTTTTGACTGATCTCTTCCCTGAAGGCAGCTGAACAGCTCACATGGAGGAATGACTCAAATCATTCCTGATTTTTAAATATTAATCCTTGGGCAACTGAATTAATCATAACTTACCAGCCTGGAAGCACTCAAACAAAACGGTCTTTACCTATAGGAGATGCATCCACCCCAAGTTGCTCTTCCCTCATAATCTTGCCCCAAAGTTGTGTAGCTCAGGGCAAAACCTGGTCCCTGGCTGCCAATGTCATGTGTTAATGGAGTGAAGCAGGCAGACAGTCTGCAGCCTGAGAAGGTTTTTGGAGAAGAGCCTGTGTGTCAGGGTAAATCACAGCCTGATTTAAACCTTAGGTTGTGGATGGACCATGAAAAAGGCAGATTGATGACTACCATGTGGTCAGATGAACCCAGATATTTGCATCTTTCAAGAGGAAAAAGATGAAGCTTAGAATCAACTCCAGTGTACAGACACTGTGGTAGGTCCAATGAAAATTATAAGTTTTGGGTTAGATGTGGCTTCTGCCCACAATCCAAAAGAGTGTATTAGGGGGACGGGATAGAAATACAGATAGAATTCAAGTCAGTGAACATATTCCATGGAACAAAATATACGTAGCTCAAAGCAATACGATTTGAGTTAGGAATCCGGGGTTTAAATCCCACTTCGGCTCTCTAATCAACTGTGTGATCTTGGACAAGCGTCCAAGACTCAATTTCATTTTCTGTAAAATGGGAATGAATAATGCCTACTTCAAAGGCAGGTATGAAGGGTGAATGAGATAATGCATTTGAGAATCTGTTGAATCCATAACTGGACTGCATGTGGCAGCAGTTCTCAAACTTGGCTGCACAGTGGGATTACTCGAGGAGTTAAAAAAAACAAATAATGATGCCTGGATCATGCCTCCAGAGAGTCTGAATTAATTGGTATCATGTGTGGCCTTGGCAGTGGGATGTTTAGAAGTGTAAAGGAGAAAGAAACAAGACCCACAATTACAGTTGAAGTTTCAATATCCTTCTCTCAATAATTGATAGGACAAGTAGATAGAAAATCAGTAAGGATGTAGAAGACTTGAACAATACTAGCAACCAATTTGACTTAATGGACATTTTAAGAACATTCGACTTAACGATGTCAGGGTAGGCATTCCTTTCAAATGCACACAGAAAATTTTCCAAGATAGATCATATTCTAGGCTATAAAATAAGCTTTAAGTAATTTAAAAATATTCAAATGAGACAAAGTGTGTTCTTTGACCACAGTGGAATTAAGGTAGATATTAATAACAGAAAGATATCTGGGAAATATCCAATTATTTGAGAACAAATTTACACACTTCTAAATAACCCACAGGTCAAAGAAGAAACCAAGAGGGAAAATAGGAAATTTCTGTATCCAAGTGAAAACACAACATATCAAAATTTGTGAGATTCAGCCAAGACATATTCACGAGGAAATTTATAGCACCAAATGCTTATATTAGAAAAGAAGAGGGGCTGGCCTGGTGGCATAGTGATAAGTTCGCATGCTCTGCTTTGATGGCCTGGGGTTCACCAGTTCAGATCCTGGGTGTGGATCTATACACCACTCATCAAGCCATGCTGTGGCAGCATCCCACATAGAAGAACTAGAAGGACTTACAACTAGGATATACAACTATGTTCTGGGGATTTGGGGAGGAAAAAAAAAGAGGCAGATTGGCAACAGATGTTAGCTCAGGGCCAATCTTCCTCATCAAAAAAAGAAAAGAAAAAAGGAAAAAAAAAGGTTCTTGAAAAAAATTAATTAATTTTAAAAAAAGAAAAGAAGAAAGGTCTCAAACCAATGACCTTAGATTCCAACTTAAACAACTAGAAAAAGAGTAAATTAAACCTAAACTAAGCAGAAGAATGTAAATAATAAAGATGGAGAAATCAGTGAAAGAGAAAACAGAAAAACAATAAAGAAAAATTGATGAAACCGAAAGCTGGTTCTTTGAAAAGATCAAGAAAATTGATAGACCTCTAGCCAGAATGATTAGGAAAAGAAGCGAGAAGACACAAATTACTAATATCAGGAATGAGAGAGGTGATATTGTTATAGATTCTACATATATTAGAAGTATTATAAGGTAAATTTTTTTCTTTTTGGAAGATTAGCCCTAAGCTAACATCTGCTGCCAATCCTCCTCTTTTTGCTGAGGAAGACTGGCCCTGAGCTAAGATCTGTGCCCATCTTCCTCCACTTTATATGTGGGA